TGCAGTGCTTTCCTGATGACATAAGATGCTTAGTGGTTTTCAAGAATCACAAAACCCTACCTTCCCTAGCCGAAGGCTTGGGTGAAACGCATGACAGGGCACAATTTCATAAAATTTGTTGATCAACTAGCCCTCTCACCAAATGTGAGAAACGTATACCATCTATGGATCCATCATGATTTGTGTTATGCTCTTCGAATCCCGTTCGCTAATCAGCAAATAAAATTTAATACTGAAGTTCAGGACATTCGTGTTGGTGGAAATAGGTAAGATGATTCTTTAAAAACAGCTGTTGTTGTGAGTTATAATCGGATGGATTAAGATGTCGGCCTGTGATGTGTCAAAGACCACCCAGGAAAAGATACAGACTGAATCGTAGGCTCTCCAACTTCTCCTCCAGGTTCCCGCGAGTTGTATTGCATCAAAAGTACTATGTACGATTTTCCGACCTTTTAGTATATCAAGTGAATACCAACTGATGCATGGGTACATTGAAATGGAGTTGTGATCCAAAATGGGGCCATTAGACAACCCGGCATCTGGTAAAATTTTTGCCATCTGTTTCTGAGTTCCCCTCTCCCTCTTCCCTTTATAATTGTCTTGTCCAGTGTGCACAAAAATACTCTGCAAAATACTGCTCTAGGTACATGAGAAACTCAACGGTTAAGTCTTATTAGAGGTGAAATGTATTGGCGAAATTAGAATACCCACCATAGGAACACTAGGTGAACACCCATTACTAAGACTGGGTATTACACGTGCCATTGCTGCATGACCTACACTTCGTTTGTTGCGTAGATAAACCGCGCTGAATTTCTCTCATTCCAAATTATTACGTACGTTGCCAGCAGTACAGACAGCTATTCACATGGACCAGAATCCCGCATTTTTTATTTAGTGCAAACAAGTACCGTGCGGTTGCGCCAAAGTGTTTTGCAATGGTCCTTGAGTAATGCGCCAACCAATGATAAAGTGCGCGCCATCGGTAATTGCAATCCTTTTGGTCCACTTTAAGCGGCAGTGGTAACGAAGTTTGGACACGAAGACATTCTTGAATTCCATTCAGAGGCGTTCCAACTCCCTCCTCAATGACTAACACTTTTTGCATGTTTATATGCTTGCACCCCAACATTCTGTTGTTGTCATAGTTTGGCCCCACGTGTTCTGGTGCTTGCAAAATAAACTGATAAATTTATGTTCTTATGCTTCTCTGTAGACAGGTAGTGAGGGCTACTAATAAATCTGTCGAACACATCACACTCTCCCTTTTCAACCCCACACGACCGCAATCCTAAGAACTTTAGCACAGTGAGTTTGAATATATTCACACAGACATCTCGGACTTACAATTCCCAAGTTGAATATAAACGTCGTTTTGTTCACAGAGTGCAAGTAAACTCCGACACGCCCGTGAAATGATCTGATAGCTAAGGACTCCATGCCCTTATATTCACTCAATTGATTTAGCGTTCACTAAGCTGGATCATTTTAAGCCGAGTTCGATGGAAATTACTATCGAATTCTTGATAACTTCAGGGACAGCCTACACCGGAAGTTCGGGTGGCATGAAAATCTATTGCAGGGTAGGGGCTGTCTACGGTAGCTAGCTGACTGGATGTCAGTAGCAAGAATGATTCAAAGGTTAGCTGCATCCACATTCACGATGAAGTCCGCACTAGTGCAGGCTACTTCGTGTACAAGAAGATATAGACAATTCTGTAAAGAAAAATGTGAGTGGAAATATAATTCTGACTGCGACTAGCACTCATCGGACGCTGACGCGACGTTAAGATATTTGCGGGACTGTTAATATTTTACTTCTGGGCGGCCATATTGCCTGCGAAAAAATTTTTCGGCCACAACACATTGAATACTTTTTTCTCAATCTGCTGTGCGCACTTTCTGGAGCAATGTCTGAGCATAACATTTAAAATTCTTCCAAAGGACCTGAGATGTCCTCCTTCCTTTCTTAATGAGAGCGGATAGTTGACTGGACCGGGAGAGAACAGAAGCCCCCTTGTATATATTCATTTATTTAAGTGCCACGTTCCCCCCGAAGGACCCGAGATGTCCTGACTCCTTTCTTAATGAGAGCGGATAGTTGACTGGACCGGGAGAGAACAGAAGCCCCCTTGTATATATTCATTTATTTAAGTGCGCCCCACGTTCCCCGGATTGGCATTGTCGTCAAACATAACGTGGGGAAAGCGGCAGAAGGATATTAACGGGTTTAAGAGAAGAACGGTGCCAATAATAAACTTAAAAGGCAACAAATTATATAGGAAGGGAAACAACCTGAGCAACATGTTTTAACATCTAATGTGGATCAACCCTGGATCTATTGACGGCGTCTCTGCCAAACCGCGATCCCGATTGCATACTCCAGGCTGGCATTTTACCAATCTAGACGGTGCTATCATTGCTCAAATATCTTCACATGTGAAAATATTGTCACAGTTAGTAAAGTCTGAGTGCAAGAATACTGGTCAAACAAACCAGAATCGCTTCAAATTCAGTGCAGCCTAAAATTGAGGCCAGATTTAGCGCGTTTCTGTGGTGCTGAAATACTAGTCGGTTGTCTGTGATGCATCTTGGTTACTTTTTGAATAACAGATTTTCATCATAAATGTTCATTTTTGGTTGGTTTAGTTGTCACTTAAGGTAATCGCTTGAGTCCTGGAACCTCTTGAACGGTAGCGTGCTTTATTTGCCCTTCCCGTCAAGCTGATCGAATCTTCCACTGTGATCATTTGTCATCAGAACTTCGTAATATGTGATTAAACTACCTTATAAATGGATCCTCCCAACAATAAGAAGCTTAGAATGTTTGGCATGAGCTATTTATGTGGCCTCGATGGCGGCGATCCTCGGTGAGTACACACATAAATGCGGCTTTGGGTGAAACTCGACGGTATGTGAAGTGCATCAAAGGTTCCAAACCACATGTCAGCTAATAGATAACGGAATAAAATCAACAATGACTCAATGTTCATGGAAAGTGGGGCCTTTGCAGCATTTTATTACTGCTTATTTGTCAGTTGTGTAGTTGTGTAGTTTCACCGTTCTCCAATAATACTAAATTTTTGAGCTAAATCAATGGCCACCCCGATGCGCTATCCTGTTCATGTCTAACGTTTGCAGGTGACTTGAGCTTTCAACGCCAGCGCACCCCAATTGGATATTAAAGCCTGGTGGTGGTCACAGGCCCCGTAGCCTTTTCCAAATGACCATAAACGTGCTCATACGTCATCCAAAGGGGGGTTCTGGAAATGCCTTTAGTTCGCATGGCGGCGACCCACGAGAAGATATTTTAAAACTAGACAGCATAATTACCAGGGGGTCTGGCTTAAAAGTATGTCGTCTTCGGACCTTGACAAGAAATTAACTCAAAACTTATTCGTTGCGCTGTAGATGAGGCGGCCCGCTTTCCCCTTACTTACACAAACGTCCATTTGCTCTATGGAGCCGACGACAAACAGCTTACCGTGATTACTCAAGCCAGGTCTGCTATCTAGAGCTCAAGAAGGATTTAAACATGATTGGATGTAGCCAAATAGCTACCTCTGAGATGTTTGACTTCCCCATATCCGCAGACTAAGGAATACGCTTGGAATCCAGTAATAACACTCTCCCAGACTGAACTTGCCGCCCAGAGGGGCTGATGCATTTTACTATATATTTGATCAGTCTTACGAGTAAATTTTTGTACCACTGATTGTTATTACGCGAGATGTCGGCTATAAGCACACCCAAAATTTCTCTGAAACCGTTGTTCGAAGGAAAACTTCAACATAAAGTTTTAGCATTTTATGGTTATTTTTCGGACGTATGAGATATCAAACGGCTGCAGTTTTGTTGAAAGTTGTTTAGACCTACTCATTCCCCACGATATTCAAGACACGCGATATTCATATTTTAATGGCTGCTATGGCTGAGCACGTGAATGCGGAGGATGATTGTGTGGAGAATTTAGCTTGTGAAAGTTTTTTCTCATTCAGTGCATTTCAAGTCGCTTTGGAAGAGTACCAGGTGAAACATTTCATTGTTTTCGTTTGCATAAACACCGAAAAGAGCAGCAGTTCACTACTTTTGTATGAAAAAGCCTTCTACCGTTGCAGCAGACATCTCTGCAGACAAAACCGAAGCCGTGGAATCCGTCGCACCCAGAAAGTTCATGGGTGGTTGTGTGTACGCGGTAGCACACGTCGTACTGATTGTCCGGCAAGGTTCCACGTTCGCCGGTACCATGACTGCTTGAGGGTTACATCCTACTACCTGGAGCACGACCATCCGCGCAGCAAGTTTATTTTTGACAGGCTCCCCATCAACCGGCGACTGGCAAATGATGAATTAAAGGGGTGTTGTACCCTTTTGAAATATGGTGCTCCGTCATCGTAGATTCGGCATTACGTCGCCGACCACTTTGGAAAGGTACTCACTACCAAGGATGTGCGTAACTATCGCCTGGAGCATGCCGTCCAGATGGTCGTTCATTACAGCGAATGACTAATGCGCAAATATGAAATGCACGCCACATATTACTGTGACCGCCGAGAAATTCGAGAGGGAGACATCTACGTTCTACATGTGGTTTCCCGGATGACGACGTACGCCGCTAATCAGGTTCTCAGGCACATTGGAATATGAACGCCAAATCCGATATAAAAGCAGACAGATTGCTTCAAAGTGAGAAGCCCGTTGTTGGTAACAGTCAGTTTGTGGTACAAACCGCCAAATGTTCTCGGACACTCAACACCCCGACCGGAACCTGCACGTGCATATTTTACCAATCAATGCGGCTACCTTGTGTACACCTATTCTCAGTATTCAGAGGACACTCGTTCCCATGCGGTAAGTTGATTAATCGAAAATGCAATGCCTGGGTCAATTTCCAATCCATCAACGGTGGCTTGCTGAATACAAACTACCGGAGGGAGGAGTACCTTTATCTCTGGTTCCAAAGCCAAGGCCATCACCAGGAGAGCATTTGCACAAGCAGCTTGATTGGTTGGTTAGCAAACTGAAGCTGTTGGAACCACGTAAGGCTGCTGGTTGTATGAAGCGTCTGATTGTCCAAAGCCAGCTGATGGTGCGTCAAAATTCAGTTAGTACCCAGGAAAGTCAGCCTCTGGTGTCGGATGGCAACCGCAACCAACCACGATGGCGTTCGACGTCAAACGACGCTGTTACCTGTGGTCTCTGTGGCCAGCCAACTGACCCTGCTGATTGGTGGTGTCAGCATCATCGACTTCCATATCGCCGTTATTGCTGCGGCAATGGGCCCTGCCCGCTGTGTGGAGAAAATATTCAGGCGCGTCCACCAGGTGAGTGCGCATGTATCAATTAAGCTACTCCCATTAGCTGCCGGCCAGTCCACCTACCGGTCAGCTGAACGAGCTTGCTTTGATGTTGATCATGATCGGTCCATGGAGGACAAGCCGAGTCTACCACGTAAGACAGTCGCAATAAAATTGTTTTGACCAATTTCGGAGTTGATGGACACCTGTAATTTTAGGCCCAATTTTTTAGCATACGCTTTGTAGACCTTCATTTCTGATCCCGTGATGATGAGGAATTCGTGTGATTGTAACTCGAAGGCCGCAAATGTCGAATCAACGAACCCATGGCAATCCGCAACGACTATACATTTATCTCTCATCCCGGTAATGGGAATTGTAAACCATTAGGTGAGCAAGCAAATAAAACCCCACTACATCCAGATGCTTAAATGCTGTTTCCGAAGATTAATTGATTGCCCATTTTCCGTTTCAGAATCCTTGTCCCGTGAAGTGGATCTTAAGAAAATGTAAAATAGAGCGACTGCCAATTAAGCTTGTATCAGTGATGCCAGTGAATAAAATGCAATTCGCCAATGGTGTTTTCTTAAATTCGTGGTGGGCGCGTGGAAATATCAGTATGGAGCACCGTCGTTGGCCACTGTACTGCGTTCCCGGGCATAGGTGAGGCCTCATAACCTGCGTCTCGAATAATAGTTACGCTAAGTAGTCGGGATGGGC